GACTTGTGTTGCTAAAGTTTCGTCGGAACGAAGTTACGGTAAGTGAATTAACAAACGGAGACGTAACAATATTATTATATTAAGCCTTGTTATTTTAAGTATAACTCATTATTAAAACTCAAAACGTAAAAACTTTTAATAAGCTAAGCATATTTACTGCTAAAATATTGAGGATGAAGTAAAAATGTACGATAATATAACTACTAAAGACCTTTAAGTAAATATCAAATAAATGTTGCTTTAAACTTAAGCTATTTTGATTTAATGGACCAGCGGCTTAAATCGTCTGAAATAAGTTATTATTATTTGCATATACGTATATAATTCTAAGTTTCGTAAATACGTGAAACATAATGGAAATTTTTCATAATATTCTTCCACTCATTGTAAGTATCATATCGTGTAAGTTACATGTTTTGTATTATTTTAATTCCTTTATAAATTCGTACTCGTCAACTTAAACACACTGTAAAAAAAAAAGTGAATTTGAATTGTGATATTTTCGTATTTTAATTATCTGATATAAATTCATCGTTTGATTCTACACAATTCCCTTGCAACGTACGATGTTTGGAATATTAATTTACTAAATATTGTAAATCTGACAGATATTCTATTTTTCATACATTATTAAAACTTGCTTTCACTATGACACATTTGCCCTATTATTTACTTTTACTCAAGTACATGAAACATATTCAAGCACCGACAATAAACAGGCAAGTGTCAGTATTAAAACTGTATACACTCCCTTCTTACGCTCGTAGCATTTCATTCTCTTTATATGTAAACTAGTATTTTTAAAATCATTTTGATTTTTCACAGTTTGTAATAAGCTACTTTACTTTTATATAATAGAACTGCTGGTAACAATAGTTAAATTTAATGATTTTGAGCAATTTGTAATAAGCTACTTTATTTTTTATATAATAGAACTGCTGGTAACAATAGTTAAATTTAATGATTTTGAGCAATTTGTAATAAGCTACTTTACTTTTTATATAATAGAACTGCTGGTAACAATAGTTAAATTTAATGATTTTGAGCAATTTGTAATAAGCTACTTTACTTTTTATATAATAGAACTGCTGGTAACAATAGTTAAATTTAATGAATTTTGAGACAATTTGTAATAA